AACGTATTAGAGGGGACATTGTTCAAGTACACCTGGAATGATCTGCCCGACAAGTTGTTTTTGATGATCTTCACGAGGTAGATCGGAAAGTTGTATCGATGCAGTTTGTACACTAGGCCATCATGCCAGACATTGGAAAACGCCTTCTCAACGTCCAACAATGCCATAGCAGATGTTTTTGAAACGGACTTGTTCCGCCTGATGATGTTAGTAGCTCTACTTAGTTGGTGGATCGTTGAATGGCCTTTCCTAAACCCAAATTGCTCCTTGAGTAAGATGTTATTTTCTTTGTCAAACTCCAGCAACCGGCTGAGTATCAACTTTTCCAATAGCTTCGAGATGGAGGACAAGAGGCTGATGGGGCGATAGCTTTTGGCACTGGTAGGATCTTTTCCCAGCTTGTGTATTCGAATCACTTTGGCTAACTTCCAGCATGCAGGGAAGAAGCCAAGTTTTAAACATTTATTGAAGAAATCAAAGTTTTTCAACACGAGGTTGACTACACCATCCACACCCGCGGCCTTCATGTTTTTAGTGCTTCTAATAGCTGCTATCACCTCATCAGCCGATATTCAACTATGATCATGCACTACTACGGGGGTGTCAGCGACTCTAGACATTGCCTCCAGTACGACAGGCTCATGGGGACTCACCATGGCTTTATGTGAAATCACAAAATGTTGGCCAAGAGCATTGGCCTTTTCAACTGGGGTAATGAGTAGGGATGGATCCGAGTTCTTGTAAACAGAGGAAAGCAGAGGGATCGGTCTCGACTTATTTTTCAAAATTTTGGTTATCTTCCAAAATGACTTTGCACAAGGAGAGAGCGAATCTTGTTGGCAAAATCGATATTTCTGAGTTCCACCATCCTGGCCTGGATAATATTGGTTAGCCTACTGCTGCCAGTTGACACGATGGCAATTTCGCTGGGAAATTTGAAACCTATTGGCCGAGGTATCTACATGGACCACCACCGGATAGTGGTCCAAGTTCAGTTCCTAATAGGCGACTGGGTGATAGCCCAAGTAACAATTTCGGTTTTTTAAGGATTCTGTAGACCATGATTTAGACTTGTATCATGCTTTAAAACCTCCATAAAACTTGCAATGTTACTTGGAAGATGTTATCACCAATGTTGCTGATGAAGATGTCGATGGTGGCATGAGCTCCGGATCGACTCAACCGGATGGGAGTGTCCGGGCACATGATGTTGTAGTGGGCTTCCTGCAGATCGTTGAACAAGAAAGTGCCGTTCTGGTTTCGCCGACTATTGCCTCAGGCTTGATGCTTGGCGTTCAGGTCGCCAGCGATGACGAAATTTTGCCACCTAGGTTGATGATGTCTCTTTGGAGGTCTGCGGCCGAGCCGTCCCTAATGTTGGTTTGCTTGGGGCAGTAGACCGCGATGATGGTGATTGGATCAAGCGATGTGCTCAGCTCAACTCCGATGGCTTCGATAGTTTTCAGCTGGAAGTTTGGTAGTAGCCGGCAGCTGATGTTCCGTCTCGCAGCGATAGCCACTCTCCCTCCTCCGGAGCTGGTGCGATCAAGCCTTACGAACCGAAAGTTGGGAAGGAAGATATTCAGCTCGGGCTTCAAGTGAATCTAAGTGATGACGGCTATGTCGATGAGCCGTTCGTTGAGAAAGTTCAAAAACTCGATGTTTTTGCTCTTGAAGCAGCAAGCGTTCCAATTTACGGGGGAGGTAGCTCATCGATTCTTCCGGTTCGCCTCCTAGCATCGTGCTATAAGGTACCAGGCGATAACCAGGGTAGTTGATCGATAGCTCGATGACATCATTTCGTTGGCGTCTGCAATGGGAAATTCTCATAGCAGGCGTTGACGATGGGACGTTGCGAGTTGTTGAATAGCAACTATCGTGGTAACTCACCGATTACCTGTCGATCTGCCAAATTTGGAAAGACGTCTGCATTGAATTGTCTCATATAATAATATTCCGCCCACTATATCACAAGAAATTGCGAGTAGCTGAGTGGAATGGAGATAAGTTAAGCATTGAGTACAGGACCAAGTCTCCCCTGGGTGGTGCCAAAAGATGAGCGCAATAGAATCATCAAGTTGCCATTAGGCACGGAATGAGACTATTGCATGGCTGAGTAGTCAAAGTCTTCCATTCGTTAGTCATTTCAGGTGGATTAGAACAGGTTTGGATTTTTCAGATATAAGATACATTCATATCATTGGCATTTGGTATTTGAGATAAAGACAGAGACAGGATGCGGAGGGCCCGCTTAGGGGGAGTGTAACCATTGTTATGGCTTCCATTTATTAAATAGTTCAGATAGGCTGGAAATGATAGGTTCATGGTGAGAAAATGTACCATATGGTGCCCGTTCACTGATCATTGCAACGTTGATGATTTCCTATAGTGACACATATCACCTTCTTAATGCTTCAGTATGCCTCAAACGATTAATTCTTAGTTGTTAATAGAACTTCCTTGATGAAATCGGCTGCTTCATGCAGACTGAGCAATTCTGATTATAGTGTCAGATTTGTTCTGTATACAGAGGAACTGGGAGGGCTTATTAGAAACTTATCACCAATAAAATAATGATCTTCTAGTAAATTTTGCATTTAATTTTATTAATATTTTATTTTATTTAAGCATATTATTTTTGTTACAGTCAATTTGCATTAGCATATGATACAAGAGATTTAATATTACTTGCTCGTTTTCGCGTAAAATAATCAATATTTATCTTACTTGTAATTACCTTTGAAAGTTTTTTTTTGTGATCTGAAAATTTACCCAGAAGTTTCGAAGCTAACGCATGTCCACAGGCCTTATAGAAAGATAGGCAGAACAAGTGTATCATTAAGAATGGTTGCATGCAGGGTTGCTTCCACTCACTTGCTATAGATGAGTGATTTTCGGAGTTTTGAATTCGTTAGATGTTGTAATGGAGATTTGTGCTGTTGGATACGGGTGGAGATTGGAGGGCGGGTGTTTGATGCATAGAGCCTGTCAATTTCGCTTTCAGAGTGTCGCAGTCAGCGGTTTTATGATTCGTGAGCGCTCGCGATTCGTAGAATCGTTGATTGTGACTGCAAGTGGATTTGACGGGTTTTGTGTTTCGGACGCTTGTTTTTGGCCTTTTCTTGTGTCTAACATGTGCAGAGTATCATTATAACGTCTACTGGTTTTGAGATTCCTGGTGGCGTGAAATATATTTGTGAGAATATCTTTTTGAGATTTTAACAGTCACGTTTTGTTTGTAGTTTATATTTTATTTATTCATGTAATTATCGTAAATAATAGTTATTCAATAATAGATAGTTCATCCATATATTCGTACTGTGACGCGAAGCGCTGTGGATTATGAGATGCTCGATGACCCTGGAGGGATCGATTTTGCTTACTGAGCAGAAAATCATAGATTTAACCCCAAGCTCTTCAACAGCACAATAAATCGCCACCATCATGTGTATATTTGATATTAAACATTAACCTTGGAAACTATTTGCATATCAAGCGAAAACGTAGTCCTGTATTGTCGCGAAGCGTTATGGTTCTGAGATGCTCGATGACCCTGGAGGGATCGTTTTTGCTTACTGAGCAGAAAATTATGGGTTTAATCCCAAGCTCTCCGTCATGACTCTTAAAATTCATTATCACTAAACAAAATTAATATGTTCTTTCGATAGCCGGCTATCGAGAGATTAAATAAACAACAAATAAACAATACATACTTTTGGTTGCATCGCCAACTTGAGGTGAATCCTAACCGAATACCCTACCCAACCCTCCAATTCTGTAGCACTTATGAGGGTGTCGCTAGTCGGTGGCCTCTCGTTAAGTAAGTACTACATCAACATTTCCTTCCCTATCCCTAGTTATGGTAAAGATGGGCGTGGCCGGGAATAGCGACAGTCATGCTTCTGTTACTCTTGTTTAGATTGGAACCAATGTTTACTCCTTAGCATTATTCCTGAAAGTAGTCTAACTGAGAATTTCAGAAGAGACGTGAGTGTCGCTAGTATCCAATCTACGAAGTATATCATAACAACGCTAACGCTAACGCTAACGCTAACGCTAACGCTTGAAGCAGCAAGCGTTCCAATTTACGATCTTGATGGCCTCACGATCCATACAGGGACAGGGCAGCATGTAACTGTTCAGATCGAGTCTTGCAGGTGCGCATGATGATGATGACCCCGGCCACGAGCGTCACAAGTTCCTCCAAGGTGAACGGAGAATCGTCGACAGGCTCATCTGAGACAGCACCTGGGGTGGTGGAGGACCCTAGAACTGATTGGGCGAATTTCAAGGACACCATTTTGGAAACTTTGCAAGATCTAAAATGCCCGAGTTCTAGTAAGAATGTGAATCATTACCCATAACAAACAATTACACAAAGTTTCATACAAATTGGAGAAGGTCGAGTCTGATCGATTCGTCGTTTGGCGTGGAACTGCTCACATGAAGATCGATATTTCTGCGCCCAGTTAGTTTTGATAAAAAAAAAAACAAGTAACCATGAGTAATCACCATGACAGGCCTGTTATCGATCTTTAAAATTGAGCTGATAAAACCGATAAACCACCCAAAAATATGTTTTTGTCGACTGGTCACCAAATGCTTACACTGAAAACGAATTTGACCCAGAGAGTGAGTGCCTTTTAGTGATTCGTTGGGAGAAATTTATGCGTAGCGTAGGAAACTCAGCTTTTAGAAATTTCTCCATACGAATGAGTAAAAGTGACACGCTCTCTTGCAGAATGCACGAAATTACATCTTTTGTTACCAGGTAAATCTTTGTCATTGACGAAAAAATAAATTAGATTTTGACCATGTGAAAAACAATTTTGTCAACATCGCGCAAAAGTCTGTCAATGACAAAGACAAAGCTCAGCACTGCTCGCCAGTACGAGATTGTGGATTTGCTATGTATAATTATCGTTATCAAAATTCGACGCTGCGCAGCAGATTAGTTCATCACAATCCATTTATAAGAGCGATGTGACGGTGAAGTCCAGTTAGTCCTTATCTAGAGTGCTCAGCTGTAAGGTGAAGAACTATTTTTGTGGTGTTTAATTCGGTGAGCAAAACTGTACTCAGAAGAATTCAAATTAGTTAAACTAACGAGGCGTGAATTGGGCCGCAACTAAGTGTGAGTATCATAATATGAATAGTCGTTTAAAACTTACTGACAGCCATATAACAGCACGATAAAATTATCAAGATAGCAAAAAAATTTAATTCGATTTGATCATGCATTGTAACGGCGAGCTAAGATATTGAAGATGTATTGCCTTAAACAAATGGTGCAATGTTGATGTCTTGAAATACCTATACACTTATGAGTCAGTCCAGCTCAAGTGGGTACAGAATTTAAAAAAAGTTATGGTCGATGTCACCGATTTGAGCCAAACTTGGCTAATATGCTTATTTTGGCATTCTGAATAAACGCCTTTTTTGATTTTACTCTAAAGTGCCTAGGTCCTTTTGGGCTACAACCCTGAATTTTTGAGATTTTTTTAAAAATTTCATTTTTCAGAAGAGATTACTTTACAACCAAATAGCTATTCGTGATATTACAATGTCAATTTAAAGGTTTTTTTTTAATAGATTCACTTAGGTGTACCCACATTTTGAACGGACTTCTGATGCGCAGATGTTCTGATTTCTGATTGCTCGATAAAAGGGATGCTAGTTTTTCATTCTTATTGTTTAAATAACCATTTCACAAGATGAGAGGTACTATGTTTTTTTATTTGTCGCTGTTTTAAGTAAACAAGCCGTTTCAAAAACCCACAAGCTGATTGATTACAGTTTCTGAGTCGAAGAGTCAACTGGATATTTTGACATTTGACTGGCGAAGTATCAAAAATAAAGAATATTCTATTCAATTCTACTAAGCATCGAATTAAAAGTTATGTGTTGTGACTTGTGACAAAATACAATTAAGGTGATAAAACATATGAACACGATTGCAAATAGAGAAAATCAGATGACACCATGCCAAAGCTTATCGCAAAAAATACTGAGTGCACTTAGGTATATAGGTTCGAGCAACAGCTCGCGAATTCAATATCCTTTTAATCCGCCAAATGATTAGATAAAGTTGAAATTTGGTTTGATTAGAAGAATTTGAGAAAATGAAACATCGAGCATAACATTTTATAACTAATACTTCATGAAACTTTAATGCCTATTATTCATTTTCTAAAATCGTTGAGTAAAAATAAGCAAACGACTTGACAAAGATTTTTATAATCTCGGATATAAAAAAAATCAAGTTTTACGAACATTTTATTGTCCCTCATTATTGGGATTTGATTTTTTGATTATTTTACAGATTTTTGTCAGCCAGAAACAGATTAAAAATATTTTTTTGCTTCGAAAATACAGATTAAAAATGGAAATAATATGGCAACACTGCGCATGAGCAATGTGTCGTTTGTTCGATTTGCGCTCTATTGTTTGGATTTTTTTTTTCAGTGTTCCCCCCAGTATAGAAATTAAAGACGTAGGCCTACGTCAAAATTTCACCCATATACATGTAGCATGGCCTGAGTGTTTAGTCTTGTGTATGAATGAGGCAGCCGTTTAATGAATATAAATGCGATTGGTTGGAGTGTGCAAGTGTGTGATTGGTTCGGCTGGTGTGCTATGATCCATAGATTCACGAAATTCAGTGCTATCACCAACATCTTACGTCATTTGACATTGGTGACAGCACGCATCACTTCGGCAGTGCTACTTAGTTAGTTCTACTCGCTTGGGGCGTTGCTCACCATTGGAAGATTCTAACCATTCAGGAATGGATGGAGACAAAATTCAATTTTAGTCGACTGTTCAATGTGGTACAACCAGACCGCTCTCTCTGGAGTGAGTGAGGACCACAAATCCGCCCAGGATCAGTTGTATTCTTTACTGATGGATCAAAACAAAATGATAAAGTGGGAGCTGGTGTGACAGGTCCTGGTGTTAATATTTCAGTTTCCATGGGTGGATGGCCAACCGTTTTTCAGGCTGAAATTCAAGCCATGTTAGAATGCACTATTGTGTGTTTAAAGCGAAAATATAAACATGCAAATCTATGCATCTTTTCTGATAGCCAAGCAGCTTTGAATGCTTTAAAATCATTTACATGTACTTCCAAGTTAGTATGGGAATGCATTCAGTTACTTCAACAGTTGTCTAATAACAATGCAGTAAATCTCTACTGGGTGCCAGGACACTGTGGAGTAGAAGGTAATGAAAAGGCTGATGAACTGGCCAGGCAAGGATCATCTAAACAATTTCTAGGACCTGAACCATTCTGTGGGGTCTCTCCAAGCTCCATCAAGATGGAATTAAGGAACTGGAAAAAGATGATGATAGATTGTAATTGGAATAATACTGTCACAGCCCGACAATCAAGAAAGTTTGTGATGCCAAATGCATCAAACACCCAAAAACTCCTTAGCCTCTCAAAGAAAGACCTATGTACTTACATAGGACTAATTACAGGGCACTGTCCAGCCAAATATCATCTAAGACTAATTAAAAAAGTTGAGGATGATATTTGTCGGTTTTGTAATGAGGAAACAGAAACCTCCGAACATTTATTGTGCAACTGTGCAGCACTTCTTAACAGAAGGGAAAAGTTCTTTGATAAGGGACTACTACAGCCCTTTGAAATATGGTGTTCATCTCCTAGTAAGGTAGTGCGTTTCATACGACACATAATTCCTTGCTGGGAATATACCTAAAGTTAGGCGTTGATGGTTACTTCTAATAGTAGTTTTTCACCCTAATAAGGTTAACAAAAAACCGGAGAATATACTACAATAGATCAAATAAATGGTCGCAGTGGTAATGTACCCAAAAAAAAAAAAAACCATTCAGCAAAAAAGGAAAACGTGAGTGTGTCTTTAGTTGCAGTAGGATTTTCTTCCTTCTCCGGACCAGTGCGTTGTGCGTTCACTAATAATTCTCCAATTTGATTGGCTGTTTCGGTAAAGAAATGAAGGTGAATACAGGATTAACACTATTATTTTTTTTAATTTCAGAATACCACAGTGCTCCATAAACCGTTGCAAAAGGAAGTGATCGGTCAGACGTTTATCCCTTAACCATTGCTTACTGATTACCTTCGTGACTTGGCGGAAAGTACCATCAGGTAAGTGCGTGGGTGCGACGACTAAGTTCGATACGTTTTCTACCCATTTTGGACGACGCAGTTGATTGATGATCGTTTAACCTAATTTTAGTCCCATCAATGGGTGGGTGTGGGTGTGTGTGTGATAAAAGCGTGAATATGTGAGTTCACCAGTCCGTGTATTAGTGTGGGAGTGGCACAGCACAAGTGACGATTGTTTTTCACAAAATTAGCGAGGATATTTCAAATACAGTGCTGTGTTATTAACTACTTTACTGGCTGTGATATAAACTGCCGTTAGCAGCGTATGAATAGGTTAAAGGTTCGGTCAATAATGAGTTTATTACACTATGTACGTTTATTACTGCTACGATGTTTATATTACAAACGATAAAACCATCCGTCTCATTGTGTGGCAACCGAGTGACAGTTTATGTTAAATTTTAGGAATCCTTAATCATCACATTACACCTTCCCCCTTTAGAAAAAGTAGCGTAAGAAATTTTACACTCGTATGAATTTTGAAAATAAGAATTTAATTTTTCTTCCTTGAGTATTGTTTTGATGAAGGTTTTGAAATGCAGTTTGTTATACATTTTGATTTTGTTTTCTTCTTTTTTTGATCTTCTTCTTCTTGAACTTTCGATATTTCATTAAATATATCCTAATTGCTATATCCTTTCCTCTTTTTTTTTGTTTTTCTTTTTTTTATTTCATTCCTTTTTATAAATTTATTAATCTGTTGCTATGTACTGTTATCTCTTTTGTTTGTCCTAAATATTCAATATCACAGTAACAATTTTCAATTTTCTTTGTTTTGTTTCGACCAACGTAAAAATAATCTATTTTTTCCGGTTTTCGTATGTTATATACTAAATCACCAACAGACGCATCTATTTGATTCAAATTTCAACTGTGAAGTTCTTTGTATTTTTTCCTGAATTAATTTATTCCTAGCGTTTTCATGAACTTTTTTGTATTTTAAATTTCATTTAATTGTAGTATTGCTCAAAATTATAAATTTGTTGAACTTTGTTATAAATGAGATCCTGTGGCAAATTAGCTTTTCTGGCAAAAACTAATTCAAAGGGTGTACACCCCGTGTCTGTGTATGAAGTCGTATTGTAGACGAATGAATAAAACTTTACCCAATCATCCCAATCATTGTGGTGATCATTCGAGAAAAACCTTAGATACCCATTCAGGCATCTATGATTTCTCTCTAAAGCATCTATTGATTGTGGGTGATAGGCTGTTGAGAAGTTTGGTTTGAAATAAATAATGTTTCCAATCTGACATAGTACTTCATTACAATATTCCGTACCACTGTCAGATCTCAATTCTAAAAAGTTTTCAAATTTTAAAATAAAGTCTTCTACTAATGCGCGTGCAATAGTGGAAGTTTCTTTATTCTGGATGGGTATCAGAACAGCAAATTTTGATAAGTCGCATTGTATTGCTATACAATAGCGGTTATTTCTAACTGTTTTTGGCAAAGGTCCAACAGTGTCAATCGATATAACATCAAATGCCTATTGTAACATGTGTCGCACATGTTAGCAAACCCACTTCATTTCCAATAAGTCAGCAACCCATCGAGCTGATGGCCGTTGCATTTGCATAAGCACTTTCCCATGAAAGTGTCGTTTTACCGGGTCAATAATTTAAGACTTTACCCGACTGTTTCCAAGCTACACGTCGCGCGGCAGTGCCGACTGTGTGGGCTCTCTTTTGCTCTCTCTCTCAATCAGTGCATCGATCACTGATTGGTCCGTCTTTACATAATGACTTCAGGTACCTTCAGTACATACAGCTTAGGTTAAGTCAAGATACGTAATAAAGAGATATTCTGGTTCTAACAACCGAACAAACTACACTATGCAGGAATCGTTTTTTTATTCCCCTTTTTAAATTTTATTTATTTTGCAAAATTGAATTGCGATCGAAATTTTCATTCCATGCTAGTGGTACAAATCATGCAGCTTTAGATAAAGTCTGTGTTTTGGAGGCGAACCAGCCCAAGGCTGAAAGCCTCCCTAATAAAGTTAAATAATAAAAATAATAATAAAGTCTGTGTTGACCTATATGACCACCAGTGCAGCTTTTGGGGAAATCATGTAGGAGTTAATCAATTTCCTCTTTTTTATAATAAATTGGAGTTTTTTTTGAAACATTGAAAAATCTTTTATTATAACAGCTGACGAGAATTATTTCCTATCGATTGGTGTATTTGGATTAAAATTTCATCTTTAAAAGACAAAGTTATAAGCGTTCAAAACCCTACACCTTTTCGTGACGGTCGCAATTTTAGATTTTCGATTTACCCCCCAGTACCTTCCCGTAAGACGTAGTCTACGTCAAAAAGACATGTTATTAAACAACAAACATTCAAGTATACTTACGAGAACAAACAGCATATCGTTTTCCGGGAACTTACTTTTATTCCTCCTGCACCGACCATCACAACACAAAAATAAAACAAAACCTAAAAAAAAACAGCGGAGGGATATCCAATTTTGTCCGGTTTCTAAACTATATAGAGACCCATTCTGGGCATCATTTAACAACCGACATGAGAACCAGCGGTGGAGATGGTCTTATGACTAACTTAAAACTAGAGTTACATAAAGTGAAAGCCTTCTCCAACATTGTAAGTAGCTCCAACAAGTATGTAACCGAAATATCATCATGCATAAAGCAAAACACCTGATCTAAAAAAAGAAAACAGCAGAGTGGCAGACAGGGTGGCCAGATTATTTTTTTCAGTATCGGTAGGTTCTCAAAACTTTTATCGGAAGTTATCGGTAGGCCGAAGGCTCTTCCGAAACTTGAAATCTTTGTGAGCGGAGGGGAGGGGGGGAGGGGTCGATGAAAACAAATCACGCGCAATGTCGGACTTTAGAACCGATGTTTTTTGAATAGGGTAAACGAACAAGTATTGGTAAGTTGATTAAACGTAAAAAAAAAACTCATTCGTAAACGGTGAGAAAAAAGTACCCACTGCTACCTACTTTTGACTAGTTTGTCTCCTTTTCTCCTTCTAATGTTGTCAAAAACGGAGGACAACATATCATCCACAAATAGTTTGGATGATACCCCGAACACGTCGTTAAGCAAATTAACCATAACATTTTTATTAGGAAATCAAAACATAGGTTTTGAAAATTTTTCGAGATTACTAACATTGTGTTACTAAGGGGCTTCCCTTAGCTCAGTCGGTAAGGGCGCAGCTACAAAGCAAGACCATGCTGGAGGTGGCTGGGCTCGATTCCCGGTCCGGTCTAGGAATTTTTCGGGTTGGAAAATTTCTCGACTTCCCTGGGCATAGAAGTATGATTGGACTTGCCACACAATCATATCAATGCAAAAATGGTACAGGCATCGAAAGCTCTCAATTAATAACTGTGTAAGTGCATCTATAGAACACTAAGTTGAGAGCACGCAATAAGCTAATGTGCGATATGCAATAAGCTTGAAATGCGAAGAAGAAGAAGAAGAAGAACATTGTGTTCCAATGGTGAATTTTCACCTAAACTTGACAGATGAAAAAATTTCAAATAAACCTGCTATTCCAGCAGACTTATTTCTGACCGATCAGGAATTAATCTTGACAAGCACCTTCTTAAAAAAAATCGGACGATCAACAACAGAGGGATTTTCGAACACTACAATTTATTTTCGAAGCGTAAAGTTTAAGTGAAAATTCACCAAATGGAACACAGCCTTAAAATCTGTGATTCTCGGTAGGGAAAGTGAAAAATCGGTAGTTTTGAACCTTTCGTCTGAGAATCGGTAGGCATTCCAAAAATCGGTAGGACTTCCGATAAATCGGTAGATCTGGCAACCCTGGTGACAGAAACTAAGCGAGATAATTCCATTCGACAAAACATGACATAGGAGACAAGAACATCAGCTTGCTCGTTTCTTGCTACACTGTTTCGCACATCTCGTTCGGGAACTTTTATTCTCATATCGTTCGCGATTTTTGCATAGCTTGTTCTTCAGCGAAATGATTCTCTGAAGAACGGCGAAATAACTTCTTTTTTTTTGGGAAAATGAACTATTCAACACTGTGTGCTATAAAATAAATTGACCTGACTTAGATCTAGCAAAAAATCATATGTAGTTAACTCTTCGGGGAACAAACTAAAATTTAAATCAAACATTTAAAAACAGCTACCTGCCTGCCCCTTAACTTCCTTTCGCGGAGGTAAACGAAATCTTCGAAAAATAAATGGCTCAGAGCATTTTTTGTGACCAAAAAATTTAGCTTTGAAGAACATGGGTTACTCCTTTGACAACAGTAATAAAAACGACAATTTGAAAAAGCGATAATTATTAATTCTTCCGTTCTATCCTGGATTGGTACTACCCAATAGAATGGTGCTCTTGTTTCCTCAAAAACGTCCATTGGAATGTTTATTTTTGAAAACTGGCGAGGGTTCGGGTTTACATTGACACATTGTTCGGGTTTGCACTTTGTTGGAACAAGCTCATAAAAAAAAGAAGACAAAATCAACTCTTGTGAAGACTTAGTGATTAATATATTAGACCATGAGCTGGAAGGAAATATTCGAAACAAGCTGTTTCGAATCTTGTAGAGAGATTAATAACTAAGATAACTTAGATGAATTTACAGCTGTTCTTAATAACGCTTTGAAAACGTGTACCAATCAACTAGTTGATCAAAAGTTTGTTTCTTTGAAAAACTCGAACAGCTGGTACAATTTGGATCTTTTGCGTCTTAAACGGAAAAGGGACAAATGGTACAAAAAGTTTTGTAGATCTAATAATGACAATCATTGGAATAAGTACACAATCACGCGTAATAAGTATTCACAATCGTTAAAGAAAGCTCGTTGTGAATATGTTCAAAGGAAGATTGATCAGCATCAAAACAACAGCAAAGAGTTATGGAAAATTTTGAAATCTTTATTAAAACCTAGCAATTGCAAACCGCGGCCCATAACATTTAATGGCACATTAGAACAGTCAGAACAAGTAATTTCAGTTAAGTTTAATGATTATTTCGTAGACAGTGTTTCATTGATTAATCAATCCGTTGAATTGGTCGATGAACCTGACGAAATAAAACAACCAGTTAATAGTAGTTGTAGATTTGAAGTTTTTCACCCAATTACATTAGATGAACATAGAGTTATGTGCCACAAATTTGGAAGGAATCCTTAGTGGTCGCTATTCAAAAAGTTGCTGGAACGATGAAAGCCGAAGAGTTTCGTGCCCATCAACATGTAGCACACATTAGAGAAAATTTTAGAACTGGTTGTTAAAGGCCAGCTGTAGGAGTATTTAACTAGTAATAGTTTGTTGATACCAGAACAATCGAAATATCGGGAAGGTCATTCTTGTGAAACCGCGTTGAATTTGGTATTAGCGAAGTGGAAAAATAACTTGGAGTGTAAAGATACGATTGTTGCTGTTTTTTTGGATCTGAAACGCGCTTTTGGAACAATTTCTAGGCCCTTATTGTTAAGATCAATCAAGCGCTTTGGAATTACGAGTACTGCATATAAATGGTTTGAAAGCTATTTGTCTGACAGAACTCAACGGACTGTTTTTAATGATTCTGTTTCCAGTCCCGTGGGGAATAACCTTGGAGTGCCCCAGGGAAGTGTATTAGGGCCCCTGTTATTTATTATGTATATTAATGACTTGCGACGTGTTTTACAATTTTGCGACATCAATCTTTTGCAGATGATACTGTGTTATTCATTGCAGCTAAGGATTAAGATGATGCCGTTTTACACTTGAATGAAGATTTGCGTTCTCTAAGTAGATGGTTGAAGTATAAGCAGTTGAAATTGAATACAAGTAAAATTTAATTTATGGTAATTTCGCGGAATCGAGTAAATGAGAACGTCTCTGTTGTAATTGATGTTGAGACTATTGATCGCGTTCGGGAGATTAAATATCTTGGCGTGATTATTGATGACACACTTAAGTTCAACTCTCACATTGACAATGTCATCAAGAAAATTGCCGAGAAGTATGGAATTCTATGTCGACTGAAAAACGATTTAACTATTGCCAGTAAAATACAGCAATACAAATCAATAATCTCTCCTCATCTAGACTTTTGCCCTTCCATTTTATTTCTGGTCAATAAAACACAAATATCGATATTACAGCGCTTGCAGAATAAAATAATGCGTTTGATTTTGCGATGTAATAGATTCACTTCCTCAACTTTGATGCTAGATGGTTGTCGGTGAAGCAAAGAATTGTTTATTTGACGATGGTGTTCATTTTTAAAGTAGTTAACGGTTTGCTGCCTCGATATTTGTGTGATCGAATTGAAAGAGGAAGTGATTATCATAGATATAATACTAAAAACGCGGTTGAAATAATAACACCGCATTTCTTGACTTGTGTGACATGTGTATCGCACATGTTAACATATCCCAAAATTCTCAAGGGCTACACTTATCGACACCCTGTAGATTTCCAACGCCATCGAACTGCGTTATGCAACGAATGCAAATGAGTTCATAAAGCAGTTCAATACACGTGTCGTTGTCAAGCGCATTTGGTTTGGCGCAATTAGCCTTCTCCAGAATTCTCTCTCCCTGTCCTCTCTCTTTTCCAGTATCGATCGCTGATTGGTGTTCCGATACATAATAATACATAAGTGCTTTCAAGTGTCTCCAAGCTAAGCTATGTAAGAAGGATTAAGTAAATTCTGAATAAATTCATTCTTAGTTCGATCCTCACGCGAGCATGTTCAATTAGTGGCAAAATATCACAGTCAAATTAATCCAAGGTTACACTTGTGCTTCACAAAATTCATTATTTTTTAAGGAATAAATGTTTTTTAGTTCATACCTAGACACATTAAACGTGCAACAACATTAACAGAATTTAAGATACATTGCATTTTACACGTTAAAACTGTATTTTGAAAGGTTATCCAGTGATTTTTTTTTATGAATTGACAAATTATGTATCTTGACGAAGTTATCTCTTACGGATTATTTTATATGGATAGCTTTCATAACGATTTTTTAATAATTATTGTAGCACTGCAAAAACTATATCTGTTCGCCACGAGGGTGATGATGGATTTTTAACATTTGATTTAATAGTAGATTAATTAAAAAAATCTCGCTTTGTTGATTGTTCATTAACTCTTGATCGCTTGTAATACTTATGAATAGTTTAGGTGGACAAAAAGGCGAGCTAAGAGGTGGACGCCTGAGCTTTTCCAAATTTATATAGCTGTGAAGCAACTGTAAACTGTAGAGGGAATTTATATCTGTAACTGAGAGCAGTTCGATTTTGTTTGCTAACCTGGTTAAAATGTCATATTTAATTATCTTAAAGATAAATCGTCCAGCTCAAACCTTTGTAAGGGTAAGAGGTGGGACCATCATCATCATCATCATCATAATCATCAAGATTTTTGCGAGATTGAAAAAGGCCGAAGTAAAGGTCAAATGTTAATGATTGACCATAACAAACAATTATGAAAAGCGTCACGTAAATCGGAGAAGATCGAGTGAGGAATTAAGAAGTTCCTGGCAAAATAGCGGAAAACATGAATTTTTGTATCGACCTTCTTGGATTTTTGTTACACTTTGCGTAGTTGTTTTTATGGGCAAAGATTCACATTTCTGCTAAATTCGTTCATTTTGTGACTTGTTAATTTTCGATATGATGTCTGAAACAAAGTTGCAGAGGAAAATAATGTCTTTCTGTTTCCAAAAGATTTTTAAAATTTATTTCAAGTAAAAATTTAACACAAATGTAATCTCAAAATTTCTTTGCCTGATTTATGAAAAAAAGCTTATGAGAAATGCAAACTTTTGGCAAGTTCAAAACCATGGACAGTTGAAAACTGAAAAAAAAATGTAGAACATGAATTTTTGGTAAATTTTTTGAACTTTTTGTTGGTACGCATTTATGCTTATTTTCTCAAAAAAAAATATTTAAAATTCCTTGAACATTGTTTTCAGAAGTACGTTTAAACGAAAAGTTCAAACATTTGACTTAAAGTTCTTGTTCATCGATTTTTGTCAATTTTTAATTGTGAATATTTTTAAACATTCCAAAAGTTTGCACTTTTCGAGAAAAAAAAAATTAATAGAAAAACGGACAAAATTATTTTGAGATATTTTGGTTTTAACACTTTTGGGAGCTGAATGTGAATCATTGCCCACAACAAACTTGCAAATCTGAGAATTCATTTGGCTGCTCCATTACAGGACTGTTGTTAAAGTGAAAAACTGTCACCATCGTCAAACTGTAACAACTTTGTCACTTTCGCTAATGCGTTATTTCTCTTCTATTCTCCAGGTGATTCAAAATGCTGAACCTAATACAGCACGGAACATATGAAAGAAAAAGCAGAACAGGCTACCACGGTGAAGTATTCAAAAAACAAATTGCAGTCGCGTTTTTTCTACGGATGCGGAGAGACAGTTTCAGATTGGCTTATAAAATGTCACTAGCCGACAAGTATGAAGACGTAGTGATCTTTGACGATAAGCGTAAGGTGATACACTTCCTCCAGGTGAAGCACGCCCTTGCCAAAGATGACAAGGTTAATGATATCGATTTGAATGCACTAAAAGATCAACACAACGGAGACTTCAGTATTTACAAATACCTGCAATCCTATCTGAAAGTTGTTGAAAATTTTCAGAAAGACCAATACAAAAAGCAGTTCTATATATTTACTAATAGGGATTTAAAAATCTCCGATGATGATTGGGTGACGACTAAAGAGGTAGAAGTAGATGAAATCCTACGATTTCATGGATCCAAGGCCCGACACCTGAAACTGGTTCCAACTAAAGAAGCGATTAGGGAGTTGAGCGATTTTATCAACAAAGATTTCGCAAACCTTAAAGAGGCAATCAAAGAGCTTTTCAACAATGGAACCGTCAGTAAAATTTTAGAAACCTATAGTACTCTTCTGAAAGACGTTTTAACAATAAAAAAAAAGGAATGCAGTTTTTTAGATAGCTTCAACTCGGAAAGCGAGCAATTCAATGTTGCCCAACTATTTAATGCTCTGGAAAAAGATAAGTTTGATATGAAGAAGACAATAACAGTGAATAACTTTTTACTCAAAAATTCAAGGGTGAAACATTTGCCACGTTATGTTAGTGAGGAGGAAATTTTGCCATTCTTCGACGACTTTTCTCTATTGGTGGGTCAACCATATGATTTATACCCAATTATTGAAAGCGAGCTGTGGACGTGGTGTGAGACGTGGATCTGTCCTGATATACTCAGAAAACTGAGTAACATCGATCTGATATTTAGAGATCTGATATTAAAATTTGACCAACTAAATAAACCCATAAAGAATAAAATGAAGGCAATTTTGAAACAAAGTGATATACTAAACTGTCTTAGTGAAATTAGAAATGATAACGATAACCTTGAAGGTAAGGAAGCAAAGCAATTGCAAAAATATTACATCAATCGCCGTATTATAAATGGCGAAGATGTCTTTGAAGTTGAAAAAAGTGACACTCAGTTTGTCGAAGAGCTTGGGAAAACATTTGAAGACCGTCAGATCATCGTGCTTCTGGCAGACCCTGGAATGGGGAAGACTAGCTTGCTTCAGTTTGTAGCGCTTGAAGTGCAGAAGCAAAATACTGTCCTCGTACTGTTGGTATACTTGAGCGAGTTGGTAATGGAGCTCGAAAAAGTAGAACACATTTCAAGCTTGGATGATGTGCTTAATGTACTCAAAGTGATCCTTTCGGAGCGATATTTCGATGTCATTAAAAATGCCCCAGATGAAAGGGATGGCCAAGGCTATTCCATTCTCATAGAGATGGATGGCTTCGACGAGATCCACTCCAAGTACACCAACAGGGTGATTGAGATGCTGGAACAACTCAAGTTGAAAAAGAGCATTCGAATCATCATCAGCGCCAGAAAACATATGCAAGTATTATTAGAGAAGCAATTTAATGTAAGATCTATGATTCTGGAGCCGTTTTGTGTGGAAGAGCAAATCAACTATTTGAGAAAGATATGGTACGACCCAGATCTAGATGAACATTGCTTTGATAGCTACTCGAAACATATTTTAAACAAATTTAAATCAAATATCCCTTCAAATTTTGGTGAAATTTGTGGTGCGCCTTTCATGGTAAATACGCTGGGAGAGGTTTATTTAGAAAAATTTAAAAATTACCATGCATTGAAGAAACAGAACCCAAATCAGCTCGTTGATCTGACTAAAGAAAAAATGAATATTACACAGCTGTACAAACAGTTTATAAGAAAATGTTTTCACAAGAAATTTATGGAAAAATTCAAGCCCAAATATGCTCTGAGCGACGCTGAATTGGATTCGTTGATGGGTGATTTTATTTTGAAGCATCAGTTGTTAGCTATGGAGCTGCTAAACATTGGAGTACGTAAGGAATTGTTCAAAAATCAATATTACAGAGAAATACACGGTCAATTTAAAAAACGATGCGAACATGAATCAGATACATCACAACTGGTTCATGTAGTCCAGCAGAAAGTTGATTTTTGCCATCGGTCTTACAGTGAATACTTTGTGGCAAAATATCTATGCGACAACATTTTTACGTTGTCTGGAGAAATTGTCATACACATTTTGTTTACAAATCATGGTGTTCGAAGATTGTCTATGACCAAGATGGAAGGAAACCAGGCATACCTCACGATCTTAAGTAATCTGTGTAAAAAAAGCTGGAGAGTTGCACTGTGGGCATGTGAGTGTGACTGTTTGAGTATCATTTCCTCTTTTGAACCAAATTTTAAATCATTCTCAACAAAAAACCTAACAGCTATGTTACTGGTTGCTGCGGAAGGTGGGTTTGTTGAAATATGTGAATTCTTATTAAAGAATAAAGTTGACGTGAATTCAGTGGATGATGAACAAAGGACTGCTCTTCATTTAGCAGCTCAAAATGGACACGATCAGTTGATCCAATTGTTGATTACAAAAAAAGCCACTGTTAACATTTTTTCAATAACCGGTATAACTCCACTTCATATCGCAGCTCAAAATGGTCATAAGAACGCTGCAGAACTTTTGATATCAAACAATGCTGACGTGAATGCAGTGAATGAAAAACAATGGACTGCTCTTCATTTAGCAGCTGAAAATGGACACGATCAGTTGATCCAATTGTTGATTAAAAAAAAAGCCACTGTTAACATTTTTTCAATAACCGGTATAACTCCACTTCATATCGCAGCTCAAAATGGTCATAAGAACGCTGCAGAACTTTTGATATCAAACAATGCTGACGTGAATGCAGTGAATGAAAAACAATGGACTGCTCTTCATTCAGCAGCTCAAAATGGTCATAAGAACGTTGCAGAGCTCTTGATATCAAACAATGCTGACGTGAATTCAGTGGATGAAGAACAATGGACTGCTCTTCATTTCGCAGCTCAAAATGGTCATAAGAACGTTGCAGAACTCTTGATATCAAACAATGCTGACGTGAATGCAGTGCAGGAAGATGGATGGACTGCTCTTCATTTCGCAGCATTTAATGGTCATAAGAACGTTGCAGAGCTCTTGATATCAAACAATGCTGACGTGAATGCAGTGCAGGAAGATGGATGGACTGCTCTTCATTTCGCAGCTCAAAATGGACACGATCAGTTGATCCAACTGTTGATTGAAGAAAAAGCCACTGTAAACATTTTTTCAAATACCGGTAGAACTCCACTTCATAGCGCAGCACTCAATGGTCATAAGCACGTTGCAGAACTCTTGATATCAAACAATGCTGACGTGAATGCAGTGGAAGAAGATGGATGGACTGCTCTTCATTTCGCAGCTCAAAATGGTCATAAGAACGCTGCAGAACTCTTGATATCAAACAATGCTGACGTGAATGCAGTGAATGAAAAACAATGGACTGCTCTTCGTAATGCAGCTCAAAATGGTCATAAGAACGTTGCAGAGCTCTTGATATCAAACAATGCTGACGTGAATGCAGTGAATGAAAAACAATGGACTGCTCTTCATTTTGCTGCGCAAGATGGACATAAGAACGTTGCAGAACTCTTGATATCAAACAATGCTGACGTGAATGCAGTGGAACAAGATGGACGGACTGCTCTTCATTTAGCAGCTCAAAATGGACACGATCAGTTGATCCAATTGTTGATTGAAAGAAAAGCCAATGTTAACATTTGTTCAAAAACCGGTAGAACTCCACTTCATAGCGCAGCACTCAATGGTCATAAGAACGCTGCAGAACTCTTGATATCAAACAATGCTGACGTGAATGCAGTGAATGAATATGGACGGACTGCTCTTCATTTAGCAGCTCAAAATGGACACGATCAGTTGATCCAATTGTTGATTGAAAGAAAAGCCAATGTTAACATTTGTTCAAAAACCGGTAGAACTCCACTTCATAGCGCAGCACTCAATGGTCATAAGAACGCTGCAGAACTCTTGATATCAAACAATGCTGACGTGAATGCAGTGAATGAATATGGACGGACTGCTCTTCATTTAGCAGCTCAAAATGGACACGATCAGTTGATCCAACTGTTGATTGAAAGAAAAGCCAATGTTAACATTTGTTCAAAAACCGGTAGAACTCCACTTCATAGCGCAGCACTCAATGGTCATAAGAACGCTGCAGAACTCTTGATATCAAACAATGCTGACGTGAATGCAGTGGATGAAGATGGATGGACTGCTCTTCATTTTGCTGCGCAAGATGGACATAAGAACGTTGCAGAACTCTTGATATCAAACAATGCTGACGTGAATGCAGTGCAAGAAAATGGATGGACTGCTCTTCATTTCGCAGCACTCAATGGTCATAAGAACGCTGCAGAACTCTTCATATCAAACAATGCTGACGTGAATGCAGTGGAACAAGATGGACGGACTGCTCTTCATTTAGCAGCTCAAAATGGACACGTTCAGTTGATCCAATTGTTGATTGAAAGAAAAGCCAATGTTAACATTTGTTCAAAAACCGGTAGAACTCCACTTCATAGCGCAGCACTTAATGGTCATGAGAACGCTGCAGAACTCTTGATATCAAACAATGCTGACGTGAATGCAGTGAATGAATATGGACGGACTGCTCTTCATTTAGCAGCTCAAAATGGACACGATCAGTTGATCCAATTGTTGATTGAAAGAAAAGCCAATGTTAACATTTGTTCAAAAACCGGTAGAACTCCACTTCATAGCGCAGCACTCAATGGTCATAAGAACGCTGCAGAACTCTTGATATCAAACAATGCTGACGTGAATGCAGTGAATGAATATGGACGGACTGCTCTTCATTTAGCAGCTCAAAATGGACACGATCAGTTGATCCAATTGTTGATTGAAAGAAAAGCCAATGTTAACATTTGTTCAAAAACCGGTAGAACTCCACTTCATAGCGCAGCACTCAATGGTCATAAGAACGCTGCAGAACTCTTGATATCAAACAATGCTGACGTGAATGCAGTGGATGAAGATGGATGGACTGCTCTTCATTTTGCTGCGCAAGATGGACATAAGAACGTTGCAGAACTCTTGATATCAAACAATGCTGACGTGAATGCAGTGCAAGAAAATGGATGGACTGCTCTTCATTTCGCTGCGCAAGATGGACATAAGAACGTTGCAGAGCTCTTGATATCAAACAATGCTGACGTGAATGCAGTGGAACAAGATGGACGGACTGCTCTTCATTTAGCAGCTGATAATGGACACGATCAGTTGATCCAATTGTTGATTGAAAGAAAAGCCAATGTTAACATTTGTTCAAAAACCGGTAGAACTCCACTTCATAGCGCAGCACTCAATGGTCATAAGAACGCTGCAGAACTCTTGATATCAAACAATGCTGACGTGAATGCAGTGAATGAATATGGACGGACTGCTCTTCATTTAGCAGCTCAAAATGGACACGATCAGTTGATCCAATTGTTGATTGAAAGAAAAGCCAATGTTAACATTTGTTCAAAAACCGGTAGAACTCCACTTCATAGCGCAGCACTCAATGGTCATAAGAACGCTGCAGAACTCTTGATATCAAACAATGCTGACGTGAATGCAGTGGATGAAGATGGATGGACTGCTCTTCATTTTGCTGCGCAAGATGGACATAAGAACGTTGCAGAACTCTTGATATCAAACAATGCTGACGTGAATGCAGTGCAAGCAAATGGATGGACTGCTCTTCATTTCGCAGCACTCAATGGTCATAAGAACGCTGCAGAACTCTTCATATCAAACAATGCTGACGTGAATGCAGTGGATGAAGATGGATGGACTGCTCTTCATTTAGCAGCTGAAAATGGACACGATCAGTTGATCCAATTGTTGATTGAAAGAAAAGCCAATGTTAACATTTGTTCAAAAACCGGTAGAACTCCACTTCATAGCGCAGCACTCAATGGTCATAAGAACGCTGCAGAACTCTTGATATCAAACAATGCTGACGTGAATGCAGTGGATGAAGATGGATGGACTGCTCTTCATTTTGCAGCTCAAAATGGACACGATCAGTTGATCCAATTGTTGATTGAAAGAAAAGCCAATGTTAACATTTGTTCAAAAACCGGTAGAACTCCACTTCATAGCGCAGCACTCAATGGTCATAAGAACGTTGCAGAATTCTTGATATCAAACAATGCTGACGTGAATGCAGTGGATGAAGATGGATGGACTGCTCTTCATTTTGCAGCTCAAAATGGACACGATCAGTTGATCCAATTGTTGATTGAAAGAAAAGCCAATGTTAACATTTGTTCAAAAACCGGTAGAACTCCACTTCATAGCGCAGCACTCAATGGTCATAAGAACGTTGCAGAATTCTTGATATCAAACAATGCTGACGTGAATGCAGTGGATGAAGATGGATGGACTGCTCTTCATTTTGCTGCGCAAGATGGACATAAGAACGTTGCAGAACTCTTGATATCAAATAATGCTGACGTGAATGCAGTGCAAGAAAATGGATGGACATAAGAACGTTGCAGAGCTCTTGATATCAAACAATGCTGACGTGAATGCAGTGGATGAAAATCAATGTACTGCTCTTCTTTACGCAGCTCGAAATTTTCACTACCGGTTGTTCGAACTGTTGATTTCTTAAATTTGAATTGATTTTTTGTATTTCTTGTACTTTTATTTTTGAATTTTGTTTTAATTTTTCTACTCTTATTTTAGTCAACTTAGGCGGTCTTGTTTCATATGTGGCTTTGGAGAGATTTGAACTCGTGACGTTGGCGTAAGAGGTACGGATGCTAACCAATACGCAAAGATCACATTAGTTCAATCACCGGTAGAATTCTGCTTCATAGCGCAGCATGGCATGGTCATAAAAAATGTTACAGATGTGAACATGGTCGACGAAGACTGCAGTTGGCAGCTTGAAATGGACATGCTCAGGTTATCGAACTATTGAATAACAAGGGACCAAACACCAGCTCTCGGGATATTAAAGGTAGAGCCAGGGCTCTACATTTTCGAAGCTCTACAGCCAGGCTGTACTTTTTCTCGCCTTGCTTTGCCCATTTTCTTTCAATGAAAGCAGCATCGGTTTTAGAGTTGAAACTTAACCTCACCACATTGACTTTCAATTTATTTCACCGACACTTTGTCACCTGCTCTTGTTACTTTTTTAAAATAAACATGTGGAGGAAAGATAGTATCTGCAATCTTCAAATGTTTACATGTGCAAAATGCATTAAATATATATATTTTGATTTCTACGCAACTTCGATTGAACACCTCCATGAAAGGCTAGCTCTTTCACTCGTCCGCTTCACCGAAGCTTGAAAGGAACACGAATGATGCGACGGGAAAAAGAAAGAATAGCGATAGACAATTTGTTTATAGACGTCAACTGAGGTGCTAGAATGATCCAAAACTGCTCGACTGCAACAGAAAAAAGAAAACTAGCAGTTTCTTCGTCGTATCTATTTTGTCGATTGAAGCCGATATTGTGACGCCCTGGGTAGAACTGCACTATGAAAGTTTGACAGATAAAATGAGGGGTTAGTGAATTTTCGAGGGGTGAATCGATTAGCTTGGGACCGAAGAGAGTACCAGAGCTGAGCGAAAAAGTTGAGCACGGTATTTCGGGATCTTCTAGTCTTAGAGTTACCTCTATGGTAGAACTGCGCTTCACATCTCAGCATTCAGTGCACAGTAATAGGATTTCCAAATTTCGCGGAAATTAACTACCGAATAGAGAATCACGTTCACTCACATTCACTCGATGTTGGCAAATGATATAAACTAGCTCAAATATTTCGAAAATGCACCTTGAAAAACTGGAATTATCATGGAATTTCAAAAGACCTCAAAAGCCTGGAATTATAAGGAAATGTTGTCATCAATCAGGGAATTTTTTTGTAAAGTATGTTCATTAGAGTCCCAGAATCATGAAAATGTGTCTAGTCCTGTTGCGAAAATGTACTTTCTGAGCTCTTATTTGTTCTGTGACAGCTCAAAGCTATAAAGTTTATTATTATGAGTTTGAAGTTATTTTAGTTCAATACAATCTACATACCATCGGTCTAAAGCTACGTAATTCACAATTCCAATATGTTTAATAAATTCAAAATTATTTTAAGATTAACCTGTAATTAGTTTTAACTAAAATAATCTAATTAGGCATAATAAAGTATGGATTGTAATTGACTTGTAAAATTGTGCTTCTATACACTTCCTAACAGAATGATGACAAATCAATAACATGATGATGATCTCCCACATTATCTTTCATAACGTTGCGATTGTACGATAGGTCGTTGGAACATTCTCCCCTCGCGTCGCTCGCTTCGACGTCAACGTCTCCGCTAATTTCTGCTCCGAATTCAGCACCTCCTCGAATCTCTGCTTCGACTTCCACATCGCCACGAACAGCAAGAACTGCCAATTTACAAACAGGTCTCAGCAAAACTCCACTAGATGTCTTTACATCTGCCCGGCACACTATTTCATCTTTGTCTGCTTTCGGACCCCTTCGTCTGCTATCAAAACTAGCGCATTCTCCTTAATTAGTGTGACGTATTGGAACCATTTAGTACGCCGAGATATCATCGACAAGTATTCGACGATCCAACGACGCCAAAACTCATCCAGCATGGGTTTACCAGCCTCTCTATCCACAATAATCCGGACACATCAAAACTTAAGTAAAACACAAATTTAGCATTATATTTCAATTGTAGTTGTTTCTTTTAGATTCATGGGATGTAACTTAAAAATTCACGAAGTCAAAACATAGTTATTCGGTATTTGTTTGAAATTTTCGAACTTTGCGCTTAAATCCATCCAATAGTGTTTGTCCAAACTCCTCAGATACCGGGGTGGTCGTCTTTGTCCAAATTGTTCGGAAGTGTTTGATATCTTTGATTCCTTGTTTCTTTCCAGAAAGTTTCCGCTTCATCAGAGCCCAGTATCGGTCGATTGGACGCAGCTCTGGACAATTTGGCTGATTTGTGATTTTTGGAACAATATTCACTTGATTTGCTTCGTACCACTCCATCACAGTTTTAGCATAATGGCATGATTTCAAATCTGGCTTTTCTTTGTGGCTTTTGATGACGGGTAGCGATCGCTTCTGCAGGCACTCTTTCTGATAAATCTCCTTGTTCATTGGGCCTGTAGCGACGAAAGATTTACTCCAAATAAGGTATTTTTTTAAGAAATTTCGACGCCTTCTTCATCCTGAAATACTCAGCTGTAGCATTTTTGGCCAAAGCAGAATAGAAAGCCAGCCCTGGAAGCTGCTTGAAATCCAACTGGACATAAGTTGTATCGTCCATAACAACGCATGAAAACTTCGTCAAATATAAGCCCGTGATTTTGCTGTCAAATTCTGGTTGTCGTTTACTACTTTTTTTTACTTTGTACGACTTCAGCCCTAAATGCTTTTTTTATTTTTGGACAAAACCAGGTGACATTCCTATTTTACGAGCCACCGTTCAAACAAAGAGATTCGGGATTTCCTTCATTATCCTCTTCACCTTTCAGTCAGTCCATCACTTCTCGGTTTCCTCTCGACCGTCAAACGTTCCAAAAATGATTTGAGCACACCGTGAACAGTGGATTTAGGTAAATCTAATTATGTTTTGTAGGTTCCCGTATTGACAAGTCAGGATTTGCATTACGTCCGTACAAAATCCGCTCGCGCACGTGTTTTCCAATCATCGCCAGCTCAAACACTAAACATGAAATGTTAACAACAATCATAGTATTTTTCATCAATAACTCCCAGCTATACTTCTGCGAAATGTTTCACTCCTACGTGCAATATTTCATAAGTTGCAGAGATTTGAATGTGTTTGATGGGATTAATGGGGATACAGACCTTACAGCTTTCTTTTCGTCCACAGGAGCCTTGGCCAGCTGTCGAACGCCGCTTGAACTAAGCATGAGAAAGTAACTTGGAGTCAACGACTACCGCTCTTCGTTATCCAGTGGCACGTGTAGGTCAATGGTCGTGAGTTGACCGTATGTTCTGCTTCCGATATCAACGGCATGAAGGATTCGTCGTCTAACTTCCGTAACATTGGCAATGCTGTCTTCACTGACCTACCATACGCTCCCAACACCCACCCATGTGAGGAGCAGAAGGAGGGTTGAACCGCCATTTGGTGTGCGCAGCCCTAAAGGTGCTGCTCGTCGTGTCGTTGATTTCCCGTATCTCACTTTCCAAAATTTATTTCCAGTGATGATTAAACGAATCCGTTGTCCAACTTAAGACTATCTCCAAATGTATTTCACGGACAGTAAGGCACGTAAAGCGCTTGATGGAGCTTCGTCCTACCTTAACGAAGCAGGGGCCAAAATATTCCGTCCAATCCTACAAACGTGAACGGTCGTAGGAACGGCATTATCCAGATCTGAGGCAGCTGACCCATCTTTGGTGCTACTAGCTTAGATTTATACACGCGGTGAAAATGCTTGAGACAAGCGTGAGATTTGTTTGCCAGATTCACACGGAAGTTTATTCTCACAGCGAGGCTCAATGAATGAGATTTGAAAGTGACACTGCTTATAAGAGACAGCAACAACAACCCGAGCAAAGCTGAACATCAAATTGAAATCAAAATTTGCTGTTATGATGTAGCTTATTTTGAATACACCAGTTGATCTAATTTTGGTTGACTTAACGGTTAACACAGCAACAATGAGAGCAAAATTTTACACTGTTGAAGCAAACAGAAAACTAATCCTGCTTTCAATGAAATCAATTTGATTACTGATTTTGCATTCATAATGTTTAACTGAATACGGACCTAGAGTAAATGGTGACCATTCATGTTTCTCAAGCTGAAAGACTTAGGCTCCAATCTCACCGCGGGCAAGTCACGAATGACCTAAAATGTGTTAAACAAATCAGATAAACGATAATCATTAGTTCAACGACAGATGAATTTCAATTAAATTTTAAACAAGACTTTAACAGCAGAACTTCAAGTTAAGTTGCTTTCATTTAAAACGTCTTGACTGCATAATGAAAGCACAATATGATATCAGACAACATTTGAAATCAAAATGAGTTTTCATTATGATAGGAACTGCACACTTTAATATCGATTTGCTTTCATTTTGTTAACCGACTTTGCTCGGGAATCCAGATATCCGGAGAACTGTTTTCCAACATCCTAAAAGCAGAAACGATCAAGTGTTGGCATATTTCCTCTATGCTCAAGATTGTATGCAATTTAGCAGAAATAGCGTTCTCCTGGTCAGCTTTAAGGAATTGACCATATTCTCGGTGATTCAGGATATCAACAGGACCGTTTTCTGGTCACCCGGTAGCGCGGATCTGTAGGTCTACTTTCAGGAACTTACCATTATACCGGTCAATACGAATTTTCACAGAGCCACCCTCACGGGATTTCTCGTCCCGACTGCCCAACCACAGGTCCAATCGCTCCCCTGTCTGTTTCGTTTAAAAGTAGATAGTCACAGCTTTCAAAAAATGGCTCAATCTTAAAATTTGATAATTGAATTGCCGAGTACCAGCCGTGTCAACATTAATCGACACGCATTTTGCTTGGGGCTTTTCAGGGTGTTTCCAAACACAAGTTCAATCAAGATTCTACGTGATAAATATGAAAGAAGATAGCCATACTTTTCGAATGGTGACTGAATTATATCGATTGTTATTAACCACCCATGTCAACAATGAATAAACATGCATTTTGCAGCCTTTGTACTTTGAGGAAGTTTTGATGGCTTGGGATTATGTCAGTTAACAAATTCCTCATTTGCTGGAGAGCCCCAGTTCCCTTATCAGTACTTACCGAATCTAAATGCTTATCTTATTTTAAGTGAGTCAAGAAATTTCGTTTCAAACATGCTAATCCAGACCTTATCGACGATATCTACTTACGGATTGCACCACATAACTAAAAATTCTTATCTCCAACTCGATTTGGATGCAAACAGAGTTCGCTGCTGCACAGTTCCACGCAGACAAGCAAATAATTTCGGATCGATGTTTTTAGAATTATCTGTAATTTTATACAGCTGTTTAATGCCATTCATTTCCTTAGTTTTGTACGTGACTAACTTTTGAAAAGGGCTTATGTGAAATGACACGCATAGATGCAAAAATACATATCTCCAGAATGATTTGTTTTGATCGAGATGGGTTTTCCGGCAAATTTATGGAGCAGTATTGAGCCTCTCTAGAAAAAAAAACATAAACTGAGAAAAACTTCAGTGTATTTTGGTAACAAAAAAATTAAAATGATATAATAACTTTAAAAATCTCAAATTGCATATTAAAAAAAACTCATTTCTTTACATTAAAATCGAAGCTTAAGTAACGTGTAAACTACTGAAAATGTGATTAAGTTGGACAATTTATAAACAAATAAATATGACTTTTTGAAAAATCTAGTATTTTAAAAAATACTGCCTACAGTTATCACTTATCCTTGAATTAGTGTAAATATTTAAAAACACAGTGTTCGTGCAGGCGACTACTACTGCCTCTACCCTTAACATAAAATAGGTACTGTGGTATCCCAGCCGAGGTCGGAAGGTAAGTAAAGCCTTTGGTCCCGGCCCATGTGTGTGTGTGTGTGTGTGTGTTGAATGGGTGCGATATCCTACGCAGGTGTGGAAGCTGCCTTCCTGCACATTCGATTGCCGTCAATGGATGGCAATCGATGTCCGTCGGTGATTGGCACTAGATTGTGGAACAGATACCGACGTTAAATAAAGGAATGATGAACATGCTGACTAGGTTTCACTCAAGTTGAGTGTAAGACGACTTAAGTTTTCAGTTTATTTAATGCATTGAAACATAATTCTGGATCAACAATAGAAAAGGTGCCCATCAGCATTTGTATACAAACCGTTCCAAAGCCCATTCCTCACAAATCGAAGGACGCCCACACAAACCAACACCATAATCGTGTAGGTAGAAGTTTCCCCTATCCGATGATGGTGTTGATTTGCGTGTGTGGTCTTCGCATTATGAGTAAAGGGCTTTGGAATGGTTTGTTTACAAATGCTGATGGGCCCTTTTCTATTTTTGATCCAGAATTATCATTATAACATACCAACTACATCTATCATAACGCTTTGCACCAAAGTTTATGGTTTTAATGTGCAAAACGTACT